TCTCTCGTCAGTATATTCCTCTGGAACTGGTTCAGGTGAGACAAAAAGCACACTATGCATTCTAATCACTGCACTCAAAACTAAGTTAAAATACCTACTTATTGTCTCTCCGGACCTCATAAATCTAAACTTGATGACACGATTTTTCACATGATGGGCAAGTATATGTAGGAACATTACCATTTGTTTTTCTATAGTTACAAGTCCATCTTCTTTTAACCCACCAATTGTATGTGTCAACTCGCATAGTAGAGTAAATGTACGTCTATCCATCCTAAGTTGTTCCACACAATTCAAGTCACTGCTATTAATAAGGCAGTTAAGGTGATCTAGTCGACCTTGGCTTCTAACAAATGTACGATCCTTCAATATATGCTTACGATAGTGCCTTTCAGCAGCAGTGGACACCACAATCATATACATCATACACAAAAGCAACATCTGTAGGTCCATCTCCTCTAATATCAGAATGCTAAAAATTTCCTCTCTATCATTGTGATCCATTTCTAATAAGGAAAAAAAAACCATAACATTAGGCAAATACAAACCGACAAGTTAGATAATAGTAAAATAAAAAATTATATCTTTTTCAAATCAACAGATTTTCGTAGAATATATCCGAATCAATATATGATTATTGCTAGAAATACACAAATGCAAAGGAAACAAACTAAAGTTAATACGAGCTATGCAACCCCAATTTTGTATTTTCTACTCTTTTGCTATACACAAACGCAAAGAAAACAAACTAAAGTTAAAATACACAAACACAGAGAAAAAAGACAACACGACAAGCAGCCCCAATTTCTCAATTTTGTATCTTCTACTCTTTTGCTATGCAACCCCAAAGATTCCTTTTGAATAATTGACATCATTCTCAAAGCCACATTATAGTAAACAAATAAGCACTGATCTTCTCATTAATTCAATTTGAAACCAAACAATCGCTGCAAAAATTTGAAATCTCTGTCTTGTTTTTCCAACCCAAAAGAAACCCCAAAGCTTTGAGACACCAATCACCAGTGAAGACAAAACATCAGTGTACCGAAACATACATTACACTACACATATGACATGGAGACATCCATCAATGCTTATTCAATTCTTATACCTAGTCATCATGCTTCTGGATTTTCTATCTGAAGGACCTTTTGTCAACTAAGAACCATCCAAGAATCAACAAAAAATTGTTGGAAGCAAGATCCGACCAAAAAATATAGTGAAACACAAGTCACTTTTGTAAGATTACATAAGCAATAGATGATAGAAAACCCATCATGGATAGTTATTCAAAGACATTTGTAATCAGAAGAAATTAAAAATCCTCCAGCCCATCACCAGTTGAATTGCCGTCCTCTACAACACTAACGTGGTCATGGATATACTGCTCTCCAATTTTTCATCATTTCCACTATGAGAAAAGGTCCCAGAAATATAAGTTCTCCAATCAACTAGCAAAAAAGCCAATGGAATGGCAATTCTAACTAATAAAATTTCACTTACAAGGATAAGTTCTCCAATCAACCAGCAAAAAAGCCAATGGAACCGCAATTCTTACTACTAAAATTTCACTTCGAAGAACAAGGGCTCTAATCAGACAGCAAAAAAGCCAATGGAATCGCAATTATTGCTCTCCAATTTTTCATTCTTTTCCACTATAAAAAAAGGTCCCAGAAATGCAAGTTCTCCAATCAACTAGCAAAAAAGCCGATGGAATCGCAATTCTAACTAATAAAATTTCACTTCCAAGGACAAGTTCTCCAATCAACCAGCAAAAAAGCCAATGGAACCGCTACTAAAATTTCACTTCCAAGAACAAGGGCTCCAATAAAAGCCAATGGAACCTACGTAAGCCTGAAACATCTTGGAAAACAATCTACAACCAACCTCGAGCCTACTTTAGAATTCATATTAGTGAGAGAGAACATGATTATTTACCTTCGCGAATCCGAAAAATATGATGCTTCAACTCTTTCACTGCTTCAACGTGAATCGGAGAGCTACTAAGAAAAACGCTTCGACTTGGCTGCAAAAGAGTCGCGTGGGTGAACGGATGAGAAGGAAAAGGAGAGTGTAGGGTTTTTTGAAAATAGTTTTTATATTACAGATAAGAGAAATCCTATCCGACCCTATCCCACCCCCCTCGGATTGTTTTACCTTGGCTATGTCCCCCTTATAGCCGACCTTATCCTATCCTAGACAGTCCCCAACCACCGCAATCCCTTTACTAGCGGGGCCACATGCCCGTTAGCAATCTATCTATTAAGTAGGGAAAGCACTAAATACTGAGTATCGAGAAAAATACCAAATCAATCATCAAATCTATTGTATAGATAACAATTCAGACCTAAACTTTTTCAATTTTGTCAATTTAGTTCTAAACCTCTACACGAAATTCCAATGTAGTCCATCAAATCAATTTTTGTTGAAAATCGCTGATATAGTGATCCAATCATGGCTAGTCATTCTACACGACACACTACAACACCAGTGATATCCAGCGAAAATTGATCAAGATAACTATATTGGGATTTCAAGCGAAGGATTAGGACTAAATTGGCGAAATTGAAAAGTTCATGATTGAACCGGCAATTCAGTACACTAAGTTTAGGATTGGTCAGACAATTTCGTCACTGACTATCATAATACATAAAACACCTAATTAAAGCGAGGCATCATCATTTTGGCCGGGTCATAATCAGCCCCTCCAATTCTCCAGCTCTACATATCAAAGATAAGTGGTCCAATGCGTGCATTATTTAATTTTATTTTTTTTTACTTAAACAAGGTACAACAGCCACATGTTTGGGGGAAGGAAAAGATTCCAAACCCTCGATTAAAATACTATAGTGGGTGGTCGAGAACAATTTCACGAGACCCATCTTTCGTCCATACCCTTGTTTGTTTGTTTGTTTGCACATTAAACTTTGCTTTATAATAATAATAATGATAATAATAATAATCAACATTAAATTTGGCAAGTTATACGTGGCATTGACTCATGTACGTAGTCTTCATTGCATGCTATGTTCATTTACGCAGCCCCCTAGCATAAAGTTGTCTAGTATTGTGTCGCTTTTCTGATCTCAAAGAGCCGGGAACCTTCCTTGGCACATTAAATTATGGATTTGATTAAGATCTTGCTATGTCTTGATAATAATTTGACTTAGTGGTCTTTTATGGGCATGCTTGTTTGCTAATTTCTCGATCCCACTTGACTTTTCTCTTCTTGGCTTATTGTTACTTTTTGCCATATCCATTGAACCGAGCAATATAGTAATATTTGGTGGGCAAGAAATCTTTAGGTACTCACCATAGATTAATGCATGATTATCCAAGCAATCAATAATCACAAACCCAATTTTACAAACTTCTATTTTTTGGGGAAAATGTTAATTTTACCAATTCAAGAGAAATAGATCATCGAGATGCGGAATCGCTGCCAATAGTTTCGGTTTGGAATTTTCTTTTAGACTTTGGGGTCACGTTGCCATGGTTTTGAGGAGTCGATACTTGGCCAAAAGAAAGAAAAATTAACTCCATTTATGATCCTACTAAATCAGAATACATATCGTTCATGGAGTTTTTTGAGTGCGATTCGCTTGGTTTGAATATGGCGGATTTCCTATTAGAGCGACAATCTCCTTCATTCAGAATAATATTGACATACCCAATGTATGGAGATGAGATGTCCGTGAAAATTAATTAGAGCCAAAAGTGGCTAAGCCATTAAACAGAGATCCTTAACAATTTGTCATAATTGCATTTTCTACATGCCATATTTGGAGGTTTATCGAAATTATTCTATTGGATTCGATACGGAATGATTTGTGTATTTTATCTCTGAATCGAAAGCATGAGCAAAAAATGATCTACATGAGAAGCAAGACGAAATGATTTCTAGACAACTTCGGGTCATTTACTTATAACATCCGTTCTTAATTCGAAATTATTGATTTTTTGAAAAAATTCCCAACATTCTGCTTTGTGAATTGATCGATTATTTTTTGAATTTTTGAATTTTTAACAGGATACGAGACGAAGTACTGACCAAAAGAAGATTGGAGATTTCTTGAGATTATGATCTCTCTGTCTCAATTCTAGTGGAACAGCTCGTCTCTCTTCCCGTGAAATAGGCAGTCTCCAATTTATTTCTACATTCGTGTCGTCGCTTGGATTGTTTGGTTTTGTCTGGGCAGCCGCCGTTTTTGCACAACAATATCAGACCATACAGAGAACATCAAAACTATAATCGCTTGACATGGTGATTAAATTTGACCGTCGAATATCCCGATATTGAGTTGTCGGAAAGGAGTTTGTATGATCAACCACCATCTCTGATGTGAAATAATTTCCAAAGAATACTGAAGATCGGAACCAAATCCTTGAATGCTGCACGAATGAAACATGCTAAGCATGCCAAAATCGAACGAAGTACGCCTCTTCAGCAGAGTGCAGTATTCTTGAAGTGCCACAGCTCTCACACCACTCTATTTAGTGAATGCACGGGTCACTCACGCAAGAGTTCCTTGCGGTGGAGCGGCTCACACATTTACCAGGAGAAAGAAGAACATTAAGTAGCGAATGCAGGTCAAGTATGGCTTTGAGGTCGCCTATGGGCTTGGACAGTCAAATATAAAAGCCCATATGCTGCACAAACAAAGTTTGCAGCGGGGAAACATCTCAAGACTTGATTTATAAGGAAATGAATGAGACGACACGAGTCCTTTTTCGATAAAAAAAGGTAGATGGCCGAGCGATCATCAGCAAGTTTAGATCCTGTCGACTTAGGGGTGATCGATGGATGTTTCGGGAGAAAGTCTCGTTCTCGATAATGATTCCAGCCAGGACAAGGCCAGAGTTCAAATGTTCAAATGATCAATCTCTCTCGTGAACACCTTAAAATCACAATGCACGAAATCTACTCAATTCTCATTCATGTATGCATCAGACATGAGCACCAAGACACAAAGTCGAGAACACAAAAGTCCAATACGTCATGGCCAAACACAAGCATAAAGCACGCACTGGTAGTTGGTAATTGATGGCCAATACAAACTAAGTTTATTTATAGCAGATAGAAAAGCTTATGCATCTGCCCATCACATCGGGCAACTCACACCATCACAAGCTTTCTACTGCAGTTCCTTCAGGAAGTCTTCATTGTCAACCAGGACCTACAAGCAAAAATTCAAAGGATCACAACGAAAGTCCCATGAAAGGGAATTAGAATACAAATACATCGCGCACTAGCTGAAAGAACTGATGCTGTCATACTATGTCTATTTGCAACATATGTGATATAGGTTTTGGGTAATGATATCCATTATTGTTCAAGACAAAAAGGTAGCCTTCTCTGGCGCAGAGTATAGAGGCGATGTTTTCAAGTGGATCCCCCTATAGCATGCTTTACACTTCCCATTCATTTTTGTGCACACCAATGATCATTTGCACTAGACAGGGCCCCCGTCTTCCAGCACAAAGTTGCAAGAAAGCAGTTATCTAGTGAACTGAAGACGTAACATGCATTGCCAGTTCCACACACATTACTCCACAATACAATGGCCATTAATTTTATCTGCATCTTAAGCAGAGATAAAATACTGCATTCCTGCTCATTCCCATGAATAAAGAGAGGTTTGAAATTCGTAAAGCAGAAACTCACAGTTTTCCAACCATCCGGATCAAGGAAAGAGACAATTTTGGTGTTGATCCCAGGAACTGGTCCTGGCTGTCTAGTTATTTTCCCACCAAGCTCTTCAGTAACCAGCTTAACTACCTCACCACTCTTGTAGACATCATCAGTGCTGATGGCAATCTAGAATTGAGAGCAAACACATTCTTTAGCGAGTGAAAGCAAGAGATCTAAATTACATTGTATGCACAGCAAGCAAAAATAAGCGGACTAACTTGTGCGTATGCATTGCCCTTGGTATACTCAGTAACCCCATAATTATAGGTGAGCTCCACCACAGTTGTCTCATACTCATCAGCATAACCCATCATGGCCAAGGTGTACTGTCAATATGATGCAGCACTATGAGAGTGGAATAATCTTAAACACCTAAGGAACCAACACGCGGGCCAATGTGGCCTTCACAAATGATACCACATGCTTATGTAGAGCAGGGGCGACCAACCTTGTACTGGGGATTATCTATTGTCCTCAACATTTTCATGCCCAATGCCTGCACAAGCATAAGGTAAATCTTTGTAGCTAATGATGCAGCAAAATCACAGCAAAACTCTTTGGAATAAACGACACCGCGCAAAGTCTTTTTCCCCCCTATTTGTATAGCCATCAGACCTATTGAACTCAATTTCTACCTCATAAGGTCAGTTCTCACATGTGAACCTCACACCGACAAAGTAACTGCAACTTAACTGGAATCCATATCCTTGGATCTTGCACTAGGAGAAGAATCTCATCAACATGCAAAACAAGAAAACAAACCTTCTCGTAAAACTTAATTGAGCGCTCCAAATCACCAACTCGAAGCATCACTTGGCAAAGTGGTTGTGGAGTTGGACCTCTTTGAATTAGCTCAAAGAGATAACCATCCGGGTCCTTCACGAAAGCAATGACAGTCGTTCCACCTTTCACTGGACCAGCCTCCCTTGTGACTGTGCCACCCTTGGCCTTGACATCTTCAACCATCTTGTACACCTGCAAAGTCAAAGAAATCCAAATCGGATGACCAATAAAGCAGGCATTATGCTTTAAAATGTCGTTGAACAGAGCAGAGACACTCACATCTTGAGTCGCAATGGCAAAATGTCCAAAGCCACTTCCAATATCATAAGAATGCACTCCATAATCTGAAACAGAAGAAAAGCAAAGTTTCACAAACCTACTCAAATGATGAATGAGCGCCAGTTTACACTATGCTTTAAAAGAAATTTCTCATAGTCTATTTTACCATTCTCCACAAACACAGCTCATATAAAAAATTTACAAGTTTCAATCGATGTTGGAATGTTTTAACATTTTTCACCTTTCGGTACACATTTTTATGGCCTTTGCCTGTTAACTTAACATTGAAATGAATGTTTTCCTGGAAACTGAACGAGGAAGGAAATTTTCCAGTAAAGGTTCAAGCCACATGAAAGAGCAAACACCATAAATGCTGGGTTCACTCAATCATAAGTGTTTAAATCTGCTAGCCAGTAAAGTGGACAATCCCCTGATTTATCAGAAAAGGATCCATATTGCACTTACTGCAATATATACCAACTAAGTCCACAATAATGCAGGAAACCATTCAATGACCAGAAAGAACAATTAGCAAGGACCTAGAGAGAATAAAAATACTCGGTCCCCCTTATTTGTTGGTAAAGAGGTCTGCCCTGCATGTTATTACATATTAAACTGCAGCAGCACAAAAGAAAAAGGTCCAACAACTCTAGTAACTGGAAAGAATAAATTGACAGTTTCTTCAGGAGATGCAATCTCTTCATACGTACATTAACACACACAAAAAAATTAAAAAAAAACAGAAATCAGCCCCAGAAGAACATACTGTATGTCAACTCCACTACAAAGTGAGATTCTTCGGGGCCGAATCCGAGGAAGGCATTGGAGTATTTCTCCTCAGGAATGTCCCTTTTCCTCAGCAACTTCATGCCAAAACATTCCGTATAGAACCTGGCACCATATAATAAAACCCACAAGAGATTATCACTTTCCAAATTCCAGAAAACCGGTCGACAGCATCTTAAAAGCCTCAAAACACAGAAGAGCGCCTTCATGCTATTCAAAACCATTCTTCAGTTGGGTTTATCCCAAAAATAGAAACCCATTTCTCCAAACAACCAAAGGATACATATTTCATACTGTTTCCGCCCTCGTTCTCTAGGGTCCTAATCATCATCGTCCGTCCTCGTTTTTTTTCGTCCTCGAAAACCACAACCACAACAACAACAACAACAAAGAAACGCGATCGGGGCATACTTGATCGTGCGCTCGAGATCGCCGACCCGGTAAACGGCGTGGAGCATGCGGCGCTTGTCCTGCTTCGGCCACTCCAGGAGCTCGGCATTCACGGGTGCAGCCTCGGCCATGTTCGAAAGCTCGCAAAAAACGCACCTCTGCTTCCACGGAAAAAAGAAGATCAAGAAGCGATCATCAGCACCCGCAAGAGTTTCGAGAGTTCACGCCAAAACCGAGACGAATCGCGAGAATCTAAACGAAACCCAGAAGAGCAAACGAAGCACAGATGCGACTCGCGAAGCAGATGGGATCGAATTACGAAATCTCAAGCGCGAGAGAGAGAGCGAGCATACCTGAGACCGAAGAGAGTGTCGGAGAAGGAGTGTTGAGTGAGACCTAGAATGATCGCTGGGAGCGTTAACATATATAGAGAAAATATATCATTCGCAGTCGAGAGTGACTAAGGTGGCAGGCTGTCACCCGGTTTCGCGGTGAATGACGCGCGCGCAGAGAGATAGAGACCGCAAGACGACGAACGGTCCTCGCGCTAGAATTGTTAGGCGATCGGCCAATGAGGTGCGACTGTCGTTTGGCGAAACCGACAGTCGCGGCCTCTAGACGCGAGGGATTAAGGAAAGTGAGATTTTGACTTTCGGGTGGACCCGTCTGAAAGTCAAAGCACCGAAATGGCTCGTGCTCCGGCAATCCGGGGCATCATGTGTGCGACTCAAGTGGAAGACTAATTTTAATTAGGGTTAATACCACTAAAAAAAAACTCTAAATTATGCTCACCGTGTATCCCAAATTCTGAACTTATATCAGTGTGAAAAATTATGATTTTTTTCGTGATACAAAAAAAAAATTTAGGATATCTGTGTCGCGGTGAGCAAGTTTATGATTTTTGCTGACAATGGCTTTTATGTCGCAGTGGGCATAGTTTGAAATTTTTTGTGGTATTTTTTTTTAATTAATTTTTTTTTACGAAATGAGAAATTGAAAATCATTTGATAATATTATTTTCTGTCTCTGTACTCATTTGAGGACAAGGTTCATTCGGGCGAGGAAAAATAAGGACACCGGATTTATTTTCCGGAAAATTGAAGGAACATAGGAATAAGCTAATAGTGGAATTTTATAGGTTAGTGAATTTTAAGCAGAGGTTTTGGACAGACAGCACAGTCTAGAAATTCGAATTTTGTGAGTTTTTTTTTTCCCCTGGCAAAAAAAGGAGAAATGGTCCACTTTGATGATGGTGGGATCGAAGGTAAGGAAAAGGAGTGGATAGAAAGGTGGACACGTTGTTGTGAGTACTAGGGAAATTGATTTCACAACGGGTCAAGGAGGCACCTACTTATAATTGTGTCGACTTGGCTTTGATGTATCGCGATTTCCATCACCAAATGTATAAGTCACGACACTTCACGGGTCGGTTTATAATTGTGTCGACTAGGCTTTGACGTGTTGCGATTTCCATCATGGAATGTGTAAGCCATGACGCTTCACTGCTCGACTGCAACATGACGTTTCACAAATGCATCAACCCGATAATGGATCATAATAGGACGAAGCGTAGGGATTGGCACGGAACAGGGATGGAGACGGGGGGATGTCGTTCGTCCCCGCTCCATGGTACAGATGTTTTCCATGCCCCCATGCGGGGCAGCTCGCTCGAGAAATGGCGCCCCTGTCGGTCCCGTCCCACCATGGGTAAAATTTCAGCATCTTTTTTTTATAAATTTTTTTAAATATATATCCGTGCTAGATATTGAAGTAATGCATCGTAAAATGAATCACAAATTACATTATAGTAACAGTGACCCAAAATAAAAAAAGAGAGATATCTTTAAAGATCATAATTGTTTATCAAATAAGTATGTAAATCTATTACATTTATCAAGTCAATTATAATTGCTCGAAAGAGTAATAAGAAAGGCAATTATTTGCATGTTCAACACGCAAACCTCTTTACAATCTCAATATCTAAAAATCAGCTCCTTGTATGGATAGAGAAAATCTTAGTTAATTAGGAATATTTAATTGCCCAATTTAATTAAGTCATCCGCAAGATTTACTACATGGATCATGCAAGAACGTAAGTAGTACAGCAACCTATATGGGAAAAACATTTTTTTTTATTTTATATTCGCAAGGAATATTTGAATCTCAAAAGATTGAAAAGATTGCAACAGGATAAGACCAAATAGTGTGATATAATTCGTGACGGGAAAATCTAACCAAATTCGAATTGAATATCCGGGACGACTTTTAAAGTTAGAAATTAGAATGCTAGCACATATTGGCAGTACATGTTAACATCTTTTGAGGTGGTTTGATACTGAAATGGTAACTACCAAGATTTATTTAGTTTGATATGGTTTTTAGAAAATTGAGGAAAGGGAAAGATGGATGACAATCTGCTAAAGATTTAGCTTCTGTTGGAAACTCTAAACCTTTCTCGCTCCAGAAGACACAAACTCGTTGATATGGAGTCAGACAGTTTGGCTTTAGCTCAGATGGCGAAGAGCGCAGATCAAAGCTCATGGGAAGTCAGAGTTAGACCTGTCAAAATGGGTCATAAACCCATTTCTTAACCCATATATTAATAAATGGATAATAAATGGGTTAGTTATATTTAGTAAATGGGTCATAAATGGGTAGAAGTATAATATTCGTAATAAATGGATCGTAAATGGGTCATAAATGAGTTTACAACTAATTTAAACTCAACTCATCTCTCTCGCCCTTACTCAACCTTGCGCTCACTCACTTCGCACTCTCATCTCAGTTTGGGTATGAATTTTCCTAGATTTAATTAAATATGAAAGTGTTTTAGCAATATGGGTTTGATCGGGTATGGGTCGGGTTGGGTATGGGTCAAGAAAATTGCATTACGCATAAATTGATCATAAATGGGTTAATGGGTCAATTTGGGTCGGACTATTCATGACCCGACCCAAACCCGACCCGACCCGACCCACCCATTTGACAGGTCTAGTCAGAGTGCTGATCGTGAAGGCCCGTGAGCTTCTGGGCCAATTTTCTAATTTAACTCTGGCCCACTACGATGAAAGGCAAATACTATTCAGATTGGGTTGCTAAGGCCCAACGGCTTAACGGCCCAACGGCTTAACGGCCTTCCATCGAATTGGGTTTCCAACCCACCACAAGCTCTTTTGCATTTGCTTAGTCATGAATCCCAATATGTGGGCTCTGATGTTTAACTCTTTTGATCGAATAAAATTCGCTTTCGACCAAAACAAAAAAAAAAAACTAGGATTCTATTATGGATAAGGAAATGAAATTAGAATGCTATCTCCATATGAATTGGAAAGGAAAAAGCTAGGAAGACGTTCCCGTCACTTTTCAGAAAATGACTGGGACACGCTGACCCCACATCTCAATTGAGGGATTTTGGCAACGGGAATTTAGCACTTTCAAAATGTAATCGCCAATAATGACCTTTATACTGTAAAATCAGATAAACTAGACCATTAAAGAAAATATAATCGTAATCTAAACTACATTTAGCACATCACTAAATACTTATAGGAAACGAAAGCGCGCCTAGGATTTGTCGGATTAGAATTCCCAAGGTTGGTGTCTCCTCTTGTAGAGCGGGAGGCGAACCCGCGCTTGTAATACTAGTGTCCCCAACCCCCACAATCCCTTTACTAGCAGGGCCACATGCCTAAGCAATAAATACTAAATATCGAGAAAAATACCAAATCAGTCATCAAATCTATTGTATGGATAACAATTCAGACCTAAACTTTTTCAATTTTGCCAATTTAGTCCTAAACCTCTACGCGAAATTTTTCAATATAGTCCATTAAACCAATTTTTGTTGGAAATCGCTGATGTAGTGATCCAATCATAGCTAGTCAACCTACGCGACACACTGCAACATTAGCAATGTCCAACGAAAATTGATGGAATGACTATATTTGGATTTCGTATGAAGGTTTAGGACTAAATTGGTGAAATTGAAAAGTTCATAACTGAACCGGCAATTCGTACACTAAGTTTAGGATTGGTCGGACAATTTCCTCGCTGACTATCATAATACATAAAACACCTAATTAAAGCGAGGCATCATCATTTTGGCCGGGTCATAATCAACCCCTCCAATTCTCCAGCTATATATATCAAAGATAAGTGGTCCAATGCGTGCATTATTCAAAATTTTTTTTTGACTTAAACAAGGTACAACAGCCACATGTTTGGGGGAAGGAAAAGATTCCAAACCCTCAATTAAAATACTATAGTGGGTGGTCGAGAACAATTTCACGAGACCCATATTTTGTCCATACCCTTGTTTGTTTGTTTGTTTGCACATTAAACTTTGCTTTATAATAATAATAATGATAATAATAATAATCAACATTAAATTTGGCAAGTTATACATGGCATTGACTCATGTACGTAGTCTTCATTGCATGCTATGTTCATTTACGCAGCCCCCTAGCATAAAGTTGTCTAGTATTGTGTCGCTTTTCTGATCTCAAAGAGCCGGGAACCTTCCTTGGCACATTAAATTATGGATTTGATTAAGATCTTGCTATATCTTTACAATAATTGACTTAGTGGTCTTTTGTGGGCATGCTTGTTTGCTAATTTCTCGATCCCACTTGACTTTCTCTTCTTGGCTTATTGTTACTTTTCGCCGCATCCATTGAACCAAGCAATATAGTAATATTTGGTGAGCAAGAAATCTTTAGGCACTCACCATGGATTAATGCATGATTATCCAAGCAATCAATCATCACAAACCCAATTTTACAAACTTCTATTTATTGGGGAAAATGTTAATTTTACCAATTCAAGTGAAATAGATCATCGAGATGCGGAATTGCCGTCAATAGTTTCGATTTGGAATTTTCTTTTCGACTTTGGGCTCATGTCGCCATGGTTTTGAGGAGCAGATACTTGGCAAAAAGAAAGAAAAGATAACTCCATTTATGATCCTACTAAATCAGAATACATATCCTTCATGGAGTTATTTGAGTATGATTCGCTTGGTTTGAATATGGCGGATTTCCTATTAGAATGATAATATCATTCATTCAGAATAATATCGACATACCCAACGTTTGGAGACTAGACGTCCGTGAAAATTAATTAGAGCCGAAAGTGGCTATGCCTAGGGGTGAGCATCGGTCCAGGGTTGACCCTGGACCGACCCTGGACCGGCCCAACCCTGCCGATCCTGGTCCGGTTCTCAGGGGGACTGGGTCGGTCCTTGGTCCTGGGATCCCTAGACCAGCACTGTGCAGGTTGGTCCTCGGTCCAGATAGTTTAGGGTCGGTCCAACCCGGACCAACCCGGACTATATATATTATATATAATATATCTAAAATATATTTTATATATTATATATTTAATATATTATTTATAATTTTTTTATGTAGAGACCCCAATTGAAATTGTGAAATGCTGTGAAAAACTGACCAAAAAAGAAAAGGTGGGAAACAGCTCTCGGCCTCTCACGTGTCCAAAA